GTGCAGAAATTGAACGAGAACCCTGCGAGCGGACAAACATGCACATGCAGAGAGTGTCTGGCTCGTGCTACTCTGCGAAAGACCACTCACCCTCCCGCAGTCTTAGTCATTCCAGCCCATCGGCCCTGCTGCATGACACATGCAGAAACATGCAGAAGGCTCTCTCCTGTGTGCGTGGGTCAGATTCTCCGAGAAGCGCCGAATCTGCTCGTTGATGCCTTGGAACATGAGGACCTCAGGCGGTTGGAGGTCGCGGGGCGAAGATTGCTTCCCAGCAGTCCCACATGTGAATGCATAGGGTCTAGGGCCGCGACAGCCGAGAAAATCGACATTGTCATGCCTCGAAGTGCTTGTCACATGCTGGCAGCAGCAGCAGCAGCAGCAAAATCGATTCAATGAGGAACCTGTCACAAACTCGTGTCCTGGTCTCGACTGCAGCCCGAGCTGCTGATGATATTCATGGCATAAAAGCGAATGTCATCGTCGTTCCAATTTACCTTTCTGCTGCGGAACGGAACGACCCATTCAAAGTGCATGGAGCTCTTGCCGAGATGCCAGGTAGAAAAGCGACACAACGAAAATCACCGCTCCAAGCAGCATATGGGCAACCTTGCACTCAATTGTGTTCGAAATGCTCGCGCTAATTTGAAGCCTGGTAAACACCTACTCGTGTGGACCTAAATGGGCCTGGGCCAGAACCCCTTTCACGTCACCGCTGGCAGTCGGAAACCCACTCCGGCCTCGATATCTGTTTCATTAAACTCGTACTCCTCCTCTTCTTCACCTTCTGCTTCACCTTCTGCTTCCCCTTCTGCTTCCCCTTCGGCTTCGCCAGCTGCTTCTGTCGCCTGTCCAGCTCTATGAAGTCATATCTTGCGCTACCGCCACGTGGCACTCTTTCTGTCCTTCTATAATCCGTGAATCCTTCAGCGGCACAGGCTCTTCTAGCCTTTTGGCCCGGAAACCCGATGCTCTTCAAAGCCGGTTCTACGGGAGGGAGAAGGAACCGTCTGCCCAACCTCTGCGGCTTCACTCCCAAGCTCTTCCTGGTCACAACCAACTGCAAGACTAGCAAAAACATGCAGACTACGCCTGACCACATAAATGCCTTGTGCTCAAGGGACGACATGGCACAAGTCAACAAGACAGCTCCCCTATGATTCTTGCGATACCGCACAGACATGTACAGACCTGCCCTGCCGTGGTGATGGCATGGATTCATTTTCACAGCACCGTGTGTCCTCGGCTGCCGCAGCAGGAGCTTCCTGCGAGGCCACACCGACACACAGTCAACCACAAGAGCCTGGAGATCCTTCACCTCTTGGCCTCATGGTTGAAATTTGCAAAGCAGCAAGGCATAGCAAGACTTGGCTAAGCCCCCAAGCCCTGTCCTCTTCTGCTTCTTCGACCTCGGCCTTGTCGGACTCCTGGCTGATGGCTTTACTCATTCGCCGAGCATGCTCCGCGCTTCCACAAAGGCTACTGGATGCTTCTGGGAGATTCCAATTCTGCCGTCAGCGCCTGAAAGGCTCTACCTACCGTTCGAATTGCTGCCATTGGCCTCCTTGGCCAACCTTCGAGAAGGCGCCTTTACCTCTCGGAAGGAACGGTGGGAATCACGCCGGCACTGTTGATGACTGAACCGTGTGAGACGAGCTCCATCTGAAGCCGGCCTTCAAGCCAATTTGAGCAGCCTCAGGTGATCCTGAGCGGTTGTTATCACAAAAACTAAGCCCCCACGACCTGCACATGCCATGGTGCCGATCAGCCTCAACAAAGTCCAGCCGACTCCCGAGACCTTGACTCCTGAAACATGACTTTCAAAGGTAGATATCGCGGACAAGCGGCCAGGAAGTTCACTTGGACTCGCAGGGAGCAACGCCCCCTAGGGTACAGCGAAATGCGCTTGAGGTATGGACTGAAGTCAGAGATTGACACCGGGACGAGGAATCAGGAATCCAGGACCGACGATAGCAACGGCACAGTTGAAGCCAGTGCTACTGCTACTGCGGCTATTGCTATTGCTATCGGCTATCTACTACTACCACCACCACCACCACCACCAGCACTACTACTACTACTCCTACTACTCCTACTCCTACTACTACTACTACTACTACTACTACTACTACCACTACGACGACGACGACTACTACTACTACTCTTACTACTGCTACTACTGCTACTGCTACTACTGCTACTACTACTACTACTACTACTACTACTACTACTACTACTACTACGACTCCGACTCCTTCTCCTTCTCCTACTCCTACTCCTACTCCTACTCCTACTCCTACTCCTCCTACTACTACCACTACGACTACGACGACTACTACTACTACTACTACTCCTACTCCTACTCTGCTCTTACTCCTTCTACTA